ATTTACAAGTCAGTTGAAAATCTTGTGCTGGCTTGCCGGCCCCAGTACAAGGCCGGTGATGGAATGTCCTGTGTCAGGGCTCCTCTCAGCAGCTGCTCTGTGCCTAGCTTTGTGAAGTGTGTGCTCTGTTGCTCAGCTAGAAGGGTGTGTTGTGTGGGTGCACACAGCAGAGTGGAGAGTCACTTAAAGCTAGAGTTGGTGACTCCCTTCCCAGCTCATCTCCACATTTTGTATACTGGGCCCAGTTTCACTCATCCCGTCCTTCAGCCCTATACGATAGCAGACAGTCCTGGGTCCAGAGACACACTGGTGACTCCACAAGTACATGAGTAGCCAGCTCTGTGAGTCCTACAGAGGAGTGGAGAGGGAAGGAGCCGAGTGCAGCAGCCTGCCCTGCACCCAGCACCCAGCAGGAGGGTGATAGTGAATCCTCACTATCATTGGCCCAAGGTCCAATGACTGCCAATTGCAGTACCACTGCAGCCTAGAATAGAGTAGAATGGATCCAAGTTCCTGAAGTACATCTGGGGACAACCTAACCTCTGAGCTAGGAAAAGTGGGTGCCAGGTTCTGTTACCTTCCTACTAGCTCTAGAGGCGACCAAGTTGTTTCTTTGCAATTTAGGGCCATATCAGTTAGTTGAATTGAACTGATTGTCTTTTATTAAGGCAGGGATTTGGAAGATTTGGGCCTTGTCATGTTTTTACTGAAATCTCCACTAAGTACCATAGTGCTATATGTGTGGTTTTTCAATTTACCCATTTCTACAAATAAAAGTCAATTTTTTGTTTCAGAAGTTTTAAAGCCAGGCATGGTGGTACACAGCTGTAATGCCAGTGCTCAGGAGGCTGAGACAGGATTGTGAGTGAGAGACCAACCTGGCCTAGGGTTTCTAGTGAAACTCTGAAGCCAGAAATACAAAACAAATAAACATCTTTTAGCACATCACAAGCTTTTCTTTATAAGCCTTGTGGGTATAGTGGAAGGAATAGGCTGAAGACCAGACTTGGCTTGGCCAGAACTGACTTGCAAGCTTTATGACTTTACACAAACACATTGCTGAACTTCTTGGGTCTGTTTATGGGGAAGATTGGAGGAAGTCGAAGTTTATGAAAAAAAAAACTTAGAAAATTATATATATATTTCTACTACCAAAGTTTGGTGTTTTTCTGTCTGCTTTATATTCTTGGAATGGTATTTAGACATGCAGGTATGAGATCAGAACAAACATATTGTGGAGAATTGAATTCCAATTTAATTTTGCTTGTATTTGGATAACTGATTTTTAGCTTCACTTTTGTGGAAATGGCTTTGTTATTTAGGTGAGTAGCTTTTGACAGTAGGAATTTCTGCATTTGAAAGGAGAGGAAGAGCTCCCCCTTTTGGTAGAAAGGCCTCCTGGTTGGGCAGTCTGGTCACTTGCCTTTTGAAAGTAGATTTGCATCCTGCTGCTGGAGTAACCTTGAGCCCTTTGATTTACACTCTGGCAAGGTTTGCATCTCTGCCAAGTTATCTCTGCTCCTGTCTGAGAGTGTAATAGAAAGAGGTTAAGAAAAGAAAGAACATCTAAGCTAAGAGGAAGGGGGAAGGCAAGACAGTGAGATCGTGTCCATTCATGCTAGATATTTCCCAGTGTTCAAATTAAATATCAGTAGAAGCTTTTATCACAGGTCCCATATCTGGCTTCGTTTCTTTTTCAAGTACTGGGGAGTAAACTGGAGAGTGGGACCTTTTACTTTCTTTTTTTTTTGGTTGGTTGTGAGGCTTGAACTCTGGGCCTAGGTGCTGTCCCTCAGCTTTTCAGCTCAAGGCTAGTACTCTACCACTTGAGCCACAGACCACTTCTGGTTTTCTGGATGGTTTATTGGAGATAACAGTCTCAAGGACTTTCCTGCCCGGGCTGGCTTTGAACTCTGATCCTCAGATCTCAGCCCCCTGAGTAGCTAGGCTTACAGGCATGAGCCACCGGTGCCTGGCTAGGCCTTGCCCTTTCTAGGCAAGTACTTTTGTCTCTTGAGCCATGCCTCCAGTGCTTTTCCACATTGGTTATTTGCAAAGTAGGACCTTGCTTTATGCCCAGATCAGCCTGAGCCACAGTATTCCAATTTGTGCTTCCCAGGTCACTGAGGATGACAGGCACAAGCCACTGTACTCAGCCATGTACTTCCCTCATAGCCTGGTTCGCATGCACACATCACCAACCCCAGTCATTGGCTGAGATGGGGTCTCGAGAACTTAGATGTTCTGGCTGGTCTTGGGCCACGATCTCCCAATCTCCACCTCCTAGGTAGCTAGGATTGCAGGTTTGTGCCCCCCCTCAGCCTCCCAGTTTCATCTGATGTGACAAGGGCTACAGGGTATCAAACCATTCATAGTCAATGGTGGTTTACAAGAGTTTAATTGGGAGTGGGAACAAATATAAACGTAATCTACATGTGAGTATTTTAAATTTTCACCCAAGATGTGGTAGGTAATAGGTTGAGTGTCTCTAATCTAAAAATTTGAGTTTTAGTCACATAAAGATGACACCTTAAGTGGAAATCCCACACCTGAACTCATGTGAAACTGCTGTCAAAAGCAGGAGCATTAAAAGTTCAGGCTATGGGCTGGGAAGGTGGCTCAGTGGTAGAGCGCTTGCCTTGCATGCCTGAGGCCCTGGGTTCAATTCCTCAGCACCACATAAGCAAAAAGAAAAAAGC